AAACCGCTTGCAGCAAAGCTCTGAAGTAACCCCATATGTTTGTTTACAAATTTCATGTGATGAAGCGTTTTACGCATTCTGATTGGCTTAGGGCAAAAATGTAAACAAAAGCGCTGATTGGTCGAGAACGAAATTCCCCCTTGTTCCAACAAGTACAAAGTTATTATTAATTCCCAACCCCCAAATCACTAAGATTATAGCACCTAAAAGAATCACGTGATATGTCACCTACGTCATCACCCCCTAATCTCTAAAGTTTCCGACACACTCCCCCATGTAACTCCAGGAAGGAAATACATGCACAAGGAAACTATTCTTTTGCAGACTTTTCTATAGGTGAAATAATGAATTATCAGTAATCACAGTTCTTTCGACTGAGGAACAAAACACGTTCTACGATTTAAATATAATAGACTAGTTAGTAAACAAGCTAGAACACTATTCCAAGATACTCAATTGTCCTCTTGGGCAAGTTCTTCCACTCTTAATTCTGCCGCGACTGCTGCATCTCGCTTCGGACGAAATGACTTCGCTTCAGGATCTAGTTTGACGTCCTTCGACGGTTTCTTCGCCTCGCACTTTAACTCGAGAGGATAGAGATGTTGGACCGCTCGTTCTAGGTGAGATCTTCCGTAACGCAACTTGACTGCTCGAACGATCCCGTCACGTCCAGGGAATAGAGAGTTTGAGCAAGACAACGAAGTATGAAGATGAAGGCATACTTGAAAATTTTTGCCGTCTGTACATTATCTTGCGCATACTGAGTTGGACGTCACTGGTGGTTGTACAACGTGTCTTCCCATGTGTCGCTGTTTATGAGTACTGACCATAATTCTTGCGCTGATCCAGAAAAAAAACAGCGAGACATGAAACTATATCCCGTCTTTGTCCTTCTGCCTTCGTACAGAACGAAGTTCACAATGAATTTTGCCAAAATATTCGTTGTGAACGAAGGCAGAAGACGAAGACGGGATATGGATTCATGTCTCGCTGTTTTATCCTGATCAGGGTAAGGATTTGGGCCAGCATTCACAAACAGCTAGACATGAATCTCTAATCTGTCTTCACTCCTGACCCTAAACTCAGAATGCGCAAGGTAATGTGCAAGACAGACAAAAATTGTCAACCACGTCGTCGTCGTCCGACTTCGTTGTCTTGCTCAAACTCTCTATCAACTCTTCCACGACACCGAGTGGCCACTTACCTCGATTCTTTTCGTCGCTACGCACGATAAATACGTCACCGACCGCGGGAGAAATGAACTTTTCTTTCCGATTGCTGTTGTGCCGTTCACGTAGTGCCTTCAGATACTCCCCAGTCCAGCGTTTCCATAGTGCGTTTTTATATGAGCGTACGTACTTTGCTTGCTTACGAAGATTCGCATCTTCTTCTCGCCAAGGTTCCTGCTCGGGAAGATGACTCGTCCGTTGGTAAATAAACGCCGAAGGAGTTAGGAGAGGAAGGTCAACATCTTCTTCTACGTAGGACAGGGGACGGCTGTTCAATTGAATCTCGACATCGACAACCACGTCCGCAAGCTCATTCCACGAAAGCGTACCTCCCCCAACGCACTTGTAAAAGTCACGCTTAAAGATCCCCACCAATCTTTCAAACTGTCCACCCCACCAAGGGGCACGACTTAAATTAAATTTCCAGTGAATCTGCTCATCTGCTGCCGACTCTGGACTTGGTTTCGTAACAGGATTCGTGGGCCACATTTCAGGACTGGACAACCACGACGGTTCGTTCCACCATAGATCGTTGTCAACCACCAAGCCACCACGACTTGCTAAATCTGCGGGATTTTCTCCAGGTCTCCACGCGACGATGTTGTGTTCCAGGATCTTTCGCACGCGATTCGCACACATCCAATCCAAGGCCACAGTGCTATCGGTCCAACCGTGTACCGAGACGACAGGGAAACCTTCAAGAGCACGCCGCAAGTTATCTACGACATTTGCTGCCATGTGTGCAGCAACCAACTCCAGTCGAGGAATAGTGAGACCTTGCTTCGCTAATCTGGATTTGGCGGCTACCAGGCCTTGCGTTGTACCACTTGGCTGACGAACTACGGCATAAACTGCAGTAGCAACTCCATGACCGCTTGCGTCGCCGAACGAATGCAGCTCCATCGCTCCGATCGGTTCACGATATGTAGCCAAACTCAGGGGACTTGATATGATAGGAGGCATGTTACATTCCCATGTTTTCCAACGCTTCGCTAAGTTATCTGGCAATGGACCATCCCACGGTAGTTTTCTCTCACATGAATCGCGATACATCAACTTTCCTTGGAACAAGATGGGCGACGCGAGTCCAAGTGGATCGTAAATACTCGCCAGCTTTGCAAGAACTTCTCTTTTTGTTGACACGTCCTGATTTGGGGGGAAAATCACACTCAACGTATCGTTCCGTTTGTCCCAAGCCACACCAAGGAGTTTACCGCCACTTTCGGACGATGGAGGGAATTGTTGCTTGGCATAGGTTTGGTCAGTGTCACTCTGTGAGGAAGGTTGATTCAACTCAAGCTCAGGAGCATTCGAATTCCACTTGTGGAGCTGAAACGAAGCATCTTCAAAGATGGCGATAGCATCTTGCTTCAGATCACTTGCTGAGGATACAGAGGAGGCACCCGATATAAGATCATTTACGTAAAGATCCCGAGAAATTTCGTTAACTCGATCTGGTAATCTCGGCGCGCAATTAGCCAAATGCTGCTCTATCACTCCTCCTAACAGAAACGGAGAAGACACCAACCCAAATAATGCTCGCGTAAATTTTAACGACACAAGCATGTATACAACATGTAGAACATGGCGGTCAACATGTTTGATGCGAGTACCGATGTAAGCACTTGTTATTCAACAAATGATTGCCTAAGTAATCTGACAACACTACAAATCGACGACAGTAATGGTAAAGATATCATTATTGATGAGAATAGAAAGCTAAAATGGAAGGAGAGCTATGAAGCTCTTAAAGTCTTTGTCAAGAAAACTCTAAAACTAAACGGGAAATGGTCGTCACCCGGAGGCAACTTAAAGTTATTTAATGAGACCACAGGATCAATTATAATCAGGTATTACACCAATTCTGCCTCTCTCTTAATTCAAGGCGAAAAAGGTGAGTCATTTACAAACATTTTGATCAAAAAGCTCTCGACCATGCATCCGAATTCAGAGACAAATATTATCGCCGATGATAACTCGTGTGAGCCAGAAAAATCGGAAGAGTCACAAAATATGTACGATGTCTCTATAAGCGAGCAGTTTCAAGATATTTTTACTTTCGACGAGGGTATATTGACCGGGACAATCAAACAGAAAAATAATAAACACGTCAGCCATACTGACGAAGTAAATTATATAATTGACCATTCACAAACGCCTAATATGGAGCCGCAAACTCTACACAAGAATCAAGAAATAATGACCGAAAATTGTTCGGAAACGTTGCCCCAAACCGACACTGCCAATAGTTCAAATGCAGATCTGTTGAAGTATGTTTGTCGGCTGGAGGCTAGAATGGAGAAATTATTTGATATTATGTCGGGTGATATGCGTGAACTTAGATCGATCACTGAATTATCATTTGAAATTAGATCTTCTCGTACTTTAAATGAAAATATATCACTCAAGGAAGAGGTCTCCCATTTGAATGAAAAAATAAAAAATCAATCATGTTTGATATCCGACATGGATACGAAGCTGAAGGAGCTTAACAATGAACGCAGTAGCTTACTAACAGTAATCAGAGTGCTACAAGTAGAAAATCAAAACTTTCCTCATTATCAGAGACAGCAACAAATGGCTAATTTACATGCCAATATTAACCATCCTCCGCAGAGCCAACAAAGCCAACATGTTGCTCCCTCAGCTCATATTAATCAAACCGAGTGGAACTATGCATATGATAACACGCTTGATCAACGACTCGTATATCAGACGGAACAACAACAACGTCATCACCAAAATTCCTATAACGAGACACATCAGTCACAGCAACAATCATACCAGCCAAAACCACAACAGAAACATCAACTACTAGCACAACATATATATCAGGGCCAACATCTGGTGGTTCACTTACATGACAACACCCATCATCCCCAACAAAGCCAATATGTAGGCCCCCTTGTCCAGCCTCAAATTAATCAAGAAATCAATGAGAGGAACCATGCATATAGTAATACGTTTGATCATCAACCCAGACCCCAGTGGGAACAGGCCGAACAGCAATACATTAGCAACAACAACGATACGCATCAGCTGCAGCAACAATCACATCAGCCACACCATGATCAGCAACAGCCACCTCAGTAGAAACAAGATCATCAACAGCAGCCTTACAATGATACTTCACTACCCAACCAATACCACCACCATCCTAAAAAGCATGCTGGAGAAGGTCTCACAATTATCCTAGGAGACTCTTTGACAAGAGGAATCAATACGAGGAACATAAGAAGGTCAACCAGTAAAAATTTAATTATCCGTACTTTTCCTGGGGCAACGGTTAAGGATATGGTAGATTACATTAAACCATCCTTGCGTTAACAATCTGCCCATATTATTATCCACGTTGGGACCAACGATCTGAAATCAAGTGAGGTCAAAACGCTAACTGAAAACATATCCAAGCTCTGTGATGAGATCTATAACTTCGATCCCAAGATCGACATTACACTTTCACAAATAATAACTAGAACTGATAGCCCTGGCATTAACGAAAAGGTCGACCATCTGAATAACCTACTAAAGGGTCTCTGTGAAGCAAGAAACTTGGGTATAATAAGCCACGAAAATATCGATGAAAGAGGCCTAGACAGATTTGGCCTGCACCTTAATAGGTCAGGTAGTGATATCATAGCAAGAAACTTAATTAACCGTATTCAGCATCTTTAGCAATTTTAAATTAGATATCTTAGATGACCTGAATTCCAACCAACCCATGGCAAATATTAATTTAACCGACAACCCTTTTAGTCTAATTCCAACAAAGGGTCTGACTTTCTTCCATTTAAATATTCAGGCTATCACAAATAAATTGGACCAAGTTAAGCTTATGATTTCTGAATCCATAAGGCATAGGAAGAAAAGCAACATTATATTTTGTTTCTCTGAAACTCATTTAAATTCTAACTGGTCTGATGACGAATTGCAAATTAGAGAGTTCAACTTCATTAGGAAGGACCGAACTTATGCCTCAGGTGGAGGTATTCTGATTTATATCCCAGAAACAATTAATTTTCAATATCGCAATGATTTCTCGTTACAAGAAAATAATTATCCGCTTGGATTTATTTGGTTGGAATTTAAACATCCTAATTCAAAACCCTTCCTGATGGCCATTATGTATCAACCGGGAAATAATATTCTCTGGAGAGATAACTTAAACTATATATTAGACATGGCTGACAATGAACACAAAGAGATAATTATGTTAGGGGACTTAAACACAAATTTTCAAGATACACATTCTTATCAACAACTTCATGTTCTAACATCTCAGTGTCAGCTTAAACAACTTATTGATGCAGTTACCAGGCCAATATCAGGTAAAACAATTGACCTTATCTTTACATCTAAGGAAGATAATGTTATTAAATCAGGCGTGCTAGATATTGGGATGAGTGACCATTTGCCAATTTTTATCTCTAGAAAAATTAATTCCAGGATCTCAATTAAACAAGGTTTACATACAACGATTAGTTATCGCAGGAAGAAAGATTTTATTGCGAGTGATTTTGACAATGA